TATACTATGGTTTACATTTCACAAGGAAAGTGGGACTAGAAACTACTAACTATAAAGGGAAGTGGGTCTTATGGTGAAATTTTAATTTTCAAACTAAACCTTTTCTGCTGACATTTTTCAAGTTTGATTTCAGCCCAGTGCCAAAGTTTCCTCTGAATGTTCTACAATGTTGGGCCAGGCATTTTTTAGTTATGAATTGTGATTTGTGACCAGGTACAAGGGCACTCCTTTGCCCAGACTCTAAAGGGCTTGGGAAGTATCCAGTTCACCTTGACCTATTAGAGCAGGGGTCTCCAAACTACGGCCCGGGGGCCGGATGCGGCCCGCGAGGCCCTCTCATCCGGCCCGTGGAGACCTTTTTGGATTCAAAGGCAGAAGAAGTGAGATTGTTTCAAAACCCATTTGAAGCAGATGTGGCCAGTTGCCCAGATGAACTGCAGCTGGAAGTCATTGAGTTGCAAGCAAATGACCTCCTTAGGGACAAGTTCAAAATAGGACTGGTGGGTTTTTACCAGTTTTTGCCCAAGGAAGACTTTCCTAATGTCAAAACTTTTGCATCAAGGTACCTTTCAATCTTTGGAACAACATACCTGTGTGAACAAACATTTTCAAGAATGAAATACGTGAAGAACAATTTGAGAACAAACTTGTCCGATGATAATCTCAGGTCACTGTTGATGTTAGGGACAACAAATCTAAAGCCAGAAATGTCTGCTATTTTGGCATCCAGGAAACAATTTCACCATTCACACTAATACAGGTGTTCATGTGTAGTGTATGAATGTGTTATTAAATAATAACTGAATAAAATAATATTAAATAAATAATTAAAAACAACATCCATGTTTTGATTGTTTTTTATTTGGACCTCAAGTGTGTAGTCGGCCCCCGAACTGCTGTTTGATAGTTAATGCGGCCCTCGGGCTGAAAAGTTTGGAGACCCCTGTATTAGAGGAATCTGGAAAATGAAAGGTCTACCAGGGAGGCAGCAAGGGGGTAGACAGCTGGGTGTGAGCTGCAGCCAGCCCTGTCCACAAGTGTGCTGAGCTGAGAGGATGGTTGAATGTGGCTGCTGCCTTGTTTTTCTGCTAGGCTATGTCTACACTGCAGGCTTCTTGTGCCCAAAAGTTCTTGCACAAGAGCACGTCCACACGGCCATGTGCTTTTGCGCATGAGATGTGCTTTTGCGCAAGAGCGTCCGTGGCAGTGTGTACGCTCTCTTGCACAAGAAAGCTCTGATGGTCTTTTTAGTCATAGGGGTTTCTTGAGCAAGAAACTCCTGTTCTTGTCCACACTAGCCTTTTTGCACAAGAACTCTTGCACGAAAAGGCTTATTCCTCATGGAGAGAGGAATAACTCTTGCTCAAAAAGCCCTCTCTTCTGACAATCTACTGTAAACTTTCTTGCGCAAGAATGCGAGTGCAGTGTAGCTGCTCCACAACTTTTTGAGCAAGAACAGTTGTTCTTGCGCAAGAAGCCTGCAATGTAGACATAGCCTTACTGTCTTGATGTGGACTTTTTATAAGTTCCCATAAAGGAGTCCCTGAGGAGAAAGGACCAGGACTGACTGACTGGCCATCTGGCTGGAAAAACATAGCACCAGGTTACATGTAGTAGAGAATACGGACATCTGATTTGGTCTGAAACAGAGCACCATGCTGCCTAGACAGAATAAGAATCCCATCTCCAATGCTTTGGGAAGTGCCAGCAGCAATTCCAATTTCAGCAACTTATAGACCAACAGCGAAGCCTCCTCTGGCTTGTGGGCCATGGTCCCTAGGAGTCCAAGGAACAGAGGTAGATGCTTTGTCCCTAGAGACCTGAGTGGGGATAGGGCCTGAGAGGACTGGAAGATGAACAGGAGGGGTAGAATCATAGGACTGGAAGGGACCTTGAGAGGTCATCGAGTCCAGCCCCCCA